TGCTGGTTTCTTCCTTTGGGCACACCGCCCACTTTGCTCCCGTGCCTCTGCATAGAAATGGCTCTGTCACTGAAGATTCCTCTGTGCTCTGGCTCTGGGTCCTCTCCGCTTCTGAGAGGAACACTAACCAAGTACAGCTCCTCTTATAGAAGCTCAGTCCATTGGTAAATTTAAAAAAAAAAAAAAAAGCTTTTCCTAACACATGCTTCATCCCAGTTTAGGTATAAGGATGCCTGAAGCTACAGTCCATGCTGGACTGCAGAATCAATGCTTTGTGCAGCCTTCCTAACATTCGTTACAATACTAAAAGACCAAAAAAGTCAGCTCATAAGAAGATTCAAATAAGCTTCTGGACAAACCCTTACTGCAGTCTTAACTTTCACTGACCACTCTTCTTTCAAAGATGGAACGCAAACCCGGCATTGCTGCTTCCCTACAGGATGAGGGCAGTGCAGGAAGGAGAACAGAACAGAAAACATAATGGCAACCACCTACTGGCTCCAACAATTTCAGGGTGTATCAAGCTGCTGAATCTGCTCAATGAAAGTGCCTACTTAAACCACCCAAGTTTAAATTTATGCATCTTCCTTGGATGTTGAAAACACATTCCAAGAGTCTAGCTGGAACCAAAACACACACAAAAGCAAATCGTGACCAAAATATTCAAGCAGACATCCTTGTGAATCTCTTTCCACCAACATCCCCAAAGACAGATGGCTTCAACTTCAACAATTGTGTGTGTGAGAAATGAGTCTACAGATTGCAGCTCCCCATAACAGACCTTTAAAACCTGTTGCTGCTTTGTTTATCACACTTAACAGCTGGTTGTCTGCAGCAGTTTTGATCTTCGGCCTATTTGTAACCACCCAATGCTAAAGTTTTCTTGCTGCTGTCAAGGGAAGTTGTCACAACAAAGAGATGGCACAAACTATCCCTCAATTTGAACTGAGCATGAACTTAGGACACACAAAACTCCAGGTTACCATTTCAAATCTTCTCAGGGTTGAAAGTGACCAAAAAATTATTATAAATCAGTGATTCTTTGGTGGCCTCAGCCTAGTTTCCAGTCCATTTTACAAAGCCCACCAACATGAATGACACACTTGCAGAGGCTGAGTGAGAAACCAAGAGTTAAACATAGGCCTGGAAAAGGCAGTGAGATGATCATGGTACTCTAGGAAGGTAATTGTGCAAAACTGTTACTGGCCCTACAATACGTGGCGGGAGCCCGAGCGCCCTCTTCCCACCCGCTTTCCCCAGGGTGCCCCCCCGCTCAGAGGGGGGCCGTGGCGGATGCCACACCACACATGGATGCTATACAGGTAGCATTTTTTAGGGAAGCGAGTACCCAGATACCAGCAAGAGACTCTGAAACATCTCACTTCTAGCCAGTAAGAACTATTTCTATACGAAAAAGAACCATCAGATATTACCTTTAAATCAGCTACTGTAGGGATCTTTTCTTCCAAAAACAGTTCTCCAAGTTGTTCATCTGAGTTAGCAACACATTCAATCAATTCCTGACGTCTGTCTGCTGCCTCAGCTCTAAATTCAGCTGGGATTTCATCATATCGAAACTTCTGCCTACAAATATATAGGACAGAAACAGTGTAGCTAGTTTGATGGACAACCACAGGAAAGGAAGTTTGAATCACCTAAGCATCATGGTTGCTACAAAATTCTAAGCCAGTCCAAACATTAACTATTAGTGTGAATAAGTGACTGAGGTCCATCAACTTTGATCTCCAATGCCACACCAGTGAGGAAGTGCATCAGCTCATAGCAGGGCTTGGCAGTGCAGCAGAACAACCCATTCCTCCACCTCAGTTCCACTTCACATTTATCCTGGCACACTTAAACCAAATAGGCACATTATGAGATATGGCCACAAAGCAAGAGACATACTTTTCATGCTGAATGCAAATATGGCTATACACTTCTCTTCATGCAGCACCCAGTATTCAGCAGTTAAGTTACCAACTGCATTAAAACTAGTCCTACAGCATCATCTCACAAAGATCTGGCATTATAGCAAAATTAGGTGTCTCATCCCCTATTAAGTTATGGATGTTTGATATTTCATTCATAAGCAACATCCTTACCTTTCTTAACCTCCCAAGAGATAATAGGAGGTATTGCTCATGGCACTGAAGTCAATGGGAGCTTCACCACAACATGGCAGGACTTAGAATCATAGAAAATTAGGGTTGGAAGAGACCTCAGGAGGTTGTCTAATGTAGTCCAACCCCCTACTCAAAACAGGAACATCCCCAACTAGATCATCCCAGCCCCTTGTCTAGCTGGGTCTTAAAAATCTACAAGAATGGAGACTCCACAACCTCACTGGATAACTTGTTCCAGCACTTTACTACCATCCTAGTGAGAAAGATTTTCCTAATATCTAACCTAAACTTCCCTTGCTGCAACTTGAGACCACTGCTCCTTGTTCTGTCATCTGTCACCAGAGAGAACAGTCTAGCTTCATCCTCCTTGGAACCTGACCCCCCTCCAGGTAGTTGAAGTCTGCTATTAAATCCCTTCTCTAGACTAAATAAGCCCAGTTCCCTCAGCCTCTCCTCAGAAGACATGTGCCCCAGCCATCCAATCATTTTTATTGCCCTCTGCAGGACTATCTCCAATTTGTCCACATCCTTTCTGTAATGGGGCTCAAAACTGCAGCCTTGCCAATGCTGAATAGAGGGGAATAATCACTTCCCTGGATCTGCTGGCCACGCTCCTTCTGATGTAGCCCAGTATGCCATTAGCCTTCTTCACAAGGGCACACTGCTGGCTTGTATTCAGCTTATTGTCCACTGTAACCCCCCAGTCCTTTTCTGCAGAGCTACTTCTTAGCCAGTTAGTCCCAGGCCTGTACCAGTGCATGGGATTGTTCTGCCTTCAATGCAGGACTCTGCACTTCTCCTTATTGAACCTCATGGGCAGGTCCCCACATGCAGGGACATGCACTTGTAGAGGCACAAATACTAGCAGCACAAATCTCTGCTAATACTTTATGCCCCATTGCATGCACATGTGCTTCAGCGCCCAGCAAATTGTCCCAGGAAGGGATAGGGGAGGCTGAGGCCTGTACCTCTGCTGGCCCCAGCAGTATTACCTGGTGTCCTGGTGCAGCAGGGATGCAGATCCGGCAGCACAAAACCTGGCCTGCAGCCAGAACATTGCTCTGGACAGTCAGCCCTCCATTTGTTCTGGTGCACACTGACACATACCCTGCGCTACTTTCCCCCCCACCTCCACCCGAGTTTTCTTTTTTAGCTTCCAGGATTTCCTGGCACGTTTTCATGTTTCCCACATGTAGTTTGTGGCGCCTCAAGCCACATGACCCTGCACATGGGGACCTGCCCAATGAGATTTATTTTAGTTCAATCCTTCAATTTGTCTAGGTCTCTCTGAGTTCTAGCCCTACCCTCCTGCATATCTGCTACTCCCTCCAGCTTGCTGAGGGTGCACTCCACCCTATCTTCCAGGTCGCTAATGAAGATATTGAACAAAACAAGCCCTAGGACCAACCCTTGAGGCACTCCATTTGATACCAGCTGCCAACTAAACATTGAGCCATTTACTACTAATCTCTGAGCTCAATGATCCAGACAGTTCTCTATCCACCTTATAGTCCACTCGTCCAACCCAGACTTCTTTAGCTTGCTTGCAAGAATTTTGAGGGAGACCGTATCAAAAGCCTTGCTAAAGTCAAGGTACACCACATCCACCAGTCTCCCCACATCCACAGAGCCGGTCATCTCACCATAGAAGGCAATCAGGTTGGCCAGGCACGACACTTGCCCTTGGTGAATCCATGCTGACTGCTCCTCATGACCTTCTCCTCCTAGTACTTAGAAATTGATAACCTGAGGATCTGCTCCATGATTTTTCCAAGTACCTAGGTGAGTCTGACTGGTCTGTAGTTCCCTGGATCTTCCTTCTTCCCTTTCTTAAAGACGGGCACTATATTTGCTCTTTCCCAATCATCCAGGACCTCTCCCAAACACCATGAGTTTTCAAAGGTGATAGCCAGTGGCTCTGCAATCACATTGACCAACTCCCTCAGCACCCTCAAGTGCATCCTGTCCACCCCCACAGACTTGTACATGTTCAGCCTTTCTAAATAGTCCCTAACCCTTTCTTTTCCCACTGTTGGCTGCTCACCTCCTCCCCAAACTATGCTGCCAGTTGCAATAGTCTGGGAGCTGACCTTGACTTGGAAGACTGAGGTGAAGTAAGCATTGAGTACTTCCAGCCTTTTCTGAATCCTGTCACTAGGTTGCCTCCCCCATGTAGTAAAGGACCCACACTTTCCCTGATCCTCCTTTTGTTGCTGACATACTTATAGAAAATCCTTCATGCTATTTTTCATGTCCCTTGCTAGCTGCAACTCCAGCTGCGCTTTGGCTTTCCTGATTTCATCCCTGCATGCCTGAGCAATACTTTTATACTCCTCCCTAGTTGTTCGTGCAAGTTTCTACTTCTTGTAAGCTTCCTTTTTGTGCTTTACTGAAGAGTTCCCTGACAAGCCAGGCTGGTTTTCTGCTGTACTTGCTAGGCTCCTGCTGTACTTGCTATTTCATTCAACAAGCCTCACAACTGACACTTTAGTAAAACAATTAGCGCTATATGTCAGACATACGATGCTTCTTTCTTGTGCTCCCCCTGCCCAAAACTGAATAGATCAGGAATTCCAGACCTCTGCAATCAAATCCCACTACCAGGCTTCTGTACCTCTAGGACACAACAGTGCTGGTTTTCCTTGTCAACCACATTAAGTTGTTTGTCAAAGGGATGCAGCTACCCTAAGTTATGCAGCAAAACAAGGGCCTCTTTAGACAGCCCAGCCTCAGCTCTAACTATAACATACTGTCAGGATTCTTTCCTGACTACCAAAACAATTTGCTACTCCATTTAAGCATTCTTCAGACCGGGAGTAACTTTATTCTACAAGAAAAGACTTCAGCCACTTACCCAAAATCACCATCAAAGTACATGGCCTTTTCTTCAATAAGATCTATAATTCCTCTGAAGTTTCCTTCAAGACCAATGGGAATTTGAATAGGGGCTGCATTGTACTTTAACTTGGATCTGAAAAATTTAAAAATACAATTAGTTCTCATTAAAAGACAAGGAGGTTTTATAAAATCCCCTGTCTCAACCTATCCTTGATTAGTGTCATTAATCCACCCTGCCATTACTAACATTAAAAGTTTCCTTGACTATCTGAAAGAACGCTACTGAAAACCAACTGCTGACAGAACATCCAGGTATATTTTTATGTATTTGCTGGTTTAAATCATTTTAATCTGAGAGCTACTTTTCTCACGTTTTAGTACATTTGGAAGTGGTCTACTCTTCTCCTACAAACAAAGAAGAGTACAAAGGACATCCACAGGACATGAGAGATAGAGAGAAGGAAGAAGGCATCTGATTATGAGAGTAGTCAGGCACAAGGACAGGTTACCTAAAGAAGTTAAGGATTCTCCATGCTTAGAAACTTTCAAAAGCAGGTTACACACACACGTGGCTGGGATGCTTTAGTCAGGAATGATTCTGCCCTGAGCAGGAGGCTGCACTAGATGAACTTGTGAGGTTCTTTCCAGCCCTACTTTCCTATGATCCTATATAACATACAGGTTTTATGTGATAGGATTCTCCTCTGTCCTACCAGAGCAGTGCACTGCAGCATGTCTAATCATCCCTGTAGTGAGGATGCTTACTACAAAACCTTTTCAAGTGGCTCCATATACACTTGTATTATCATAAATAAAAATGAGCCATAAACCCAATTCAGCAGACATGAAACCATGTTCCTTTGGAGGAAATGGAAGTTTCCTAACCTAAGGGAACTACCATCTGTTCTGTCAATGAGAGTTATTTTGGTATCCTCTCCTGGTGTAATTAGAGAAGCGCTGTTTCAGCTACCCATCTGATTTAACTTAAAACCGTGCACTGTACCGCGGGGCTGTGACTTCATCAGATCGCAGAAGCTCAGCAGGATCATTAACACCTACTCAAAATATCAAGAAACATTATGCGAATGTCTAGGAACTGCACTGCAAACAGGTTAAAAATAGTAGGTACCTCAGTTGTTGCACAGCTCTGGTGGGACTTGAGCCCACTCTGTCCAGCTTATTGATGAATGTTAGAAATGGGACATTATAACGCTTCATTTGCCTGGTGACTGTCATTGTTTGGCACTGAACTCCTCCAACAGCACAGAGCACCAAGACAGCTCCATCAAGAACTCGCAGCGCTCTTTCCACTTCAATTGTGAAGTCTACATGCCCTGGATAACAAAAACAATTATTTCTGTGATGGTTTGAACAGCAGCATGGTTTGCTTCCCTTTTGTATTCATGTGAATTAGCCTTTAGCTATGCTGAAGGGGCCTAAATCAGACCTAAATAGATGAAAAAAGTAAGTTTTGAAAACAAACATTTTCTTTAACTTTAGGTCAATGACAACATTTGCAAAGTTGTTTTTGAGGGAATGTCATTAGAAAGAGCTTTCACTTTCAGAGAGAAAGTCCTGACTGACTGCAAGTCAAACACTGCAATACTAACCTACTGCAAAGCAGCCAGAAAGCGACATTTACTTGAAAGGATTACTGTATAAACAAATCTATGTGTATATTATTTAACGGTCAAAGGCAGTAAAAGTACAAGCTATAAACAAACAACATAAGGAATGAAAACTAGCTAGATTTTCATGATAATTTCAGTTTTAAATATCTGAACTATTACAAACAGCAGAATCAAGGGCACTATTCTCCTTGGTTTTGTGATTTCCAGTCTAGCAGTGCCCCACACCTATTAATGAAGTACTATTCAGACACTAATAATCTTCTGACTCTGTCCCATAAAAGTGGCATGAGTCACATTTATCAACACATTCCTGTGTTTTGGAGGAATCAAAATAAGCATGGTGATTCTTTGCCCATGGCCATTCAGTCCTTGGTCTATCTTCCGACACTCCTAGCAACTGCAAGATACTCCACACTATCAGTGCCTTCACCAATATTTATATGAAACTAGGAACATTTCACACCAAACCCCAATGACAACTAAAAGGTTATCCTCTTACTTGGATCATACAGGCGACAAAGGCTCCCTTCTTGCAAGAAGCCTCAGGTGCAGAACTCCCGTCTTGAAGCCTGCCACAAATTGCACCACAGGTTGTCGGGTTTGTGTAGTATCAGGCAGATTTTCTGCTGTTTATTTCACTGATGCAGTATATGTGGTTTCATTGGAAAGCCAATATTACATTGTATCCATTTATGTCACTTCTATTATGGCATGGGTTATGTTATGCTGTCTGTATGTATCTTTATGATTTTGGATATGGTTTAGCAAAGGGAACTGTGGGATGCATACTTAAGGAAATGGAGTGGGCAGAACTACTAAATCTCTCTTGCTATTGTGATATTAGGGCAAGGACAACTGCTGCTCCCAATCACAGACCAAAGGGGCCACAAGCGGGAAGGGCCATTGTCTCCCGAGACACCTGTGAGAAATGGCCCATTAGCCAGCAGAATGCCAGATGTCCTCCAAGTTTTTGGAGGATTCTGGAGACTCATGATGAGAAATTAGTAAACAGTACTGCAGAAGGTGGGCATGGCAAGAGATAGCTTGGAGGCATTAAGGGCTGTCTGTAAGGGTTTTTACATTTTTCCCAGGCTGGAAAAAAGGTCCAAGCCCTCAGCAACTAGGGCTAGTAGGGTCAGCAAGAAGGCTGAGTTCTGGAGATACTGACAGGACTTGCAGGGGGCCAGGTGGCAGTCAGATTAGAGGGTAAGACACTTTACTTGTCTTTTGGATCGGTTTTCAAACATATGGTCAGGTTCACTTGTATAATTGTTTTCTCCTACATAATGAATACTTTTATTGTTTTGTCTCCTTACTGACTGCCTGTGGTAAAGCAGGTGCTGGGCAAGCAATATTCCATGCAAGCCCATTCTACAGAAGGTGGGGCCTAAGAATTTCTCCCAAAGTGGAGGCTACCTAGGGCTAATAGATGCCTCTGCTCTATCTGTGAGGTGTAGCATAAGGGCAGTGAAGCTGAGGCTTGCAGGGACAAGGAGGTACCCCAGAGGAAACCTTGATCTGTTCATTGGATGCATTTGTGGCAAAGTCTGCTGCAAGGAGGCAGCTTTACAGGTGAAATATGCTGTCTTAATCCAATTCTGCTCCAACTGAAACAAATCCTTGGTCTAGTCACTCTAATAACCTGTAAACCACATTCTGTGAAAGATGACTGTCCTGAAGAGCACCTGGCACAGGGGTGGAAAGGATGACAGACAGAACCTGAATTAACCCGAACTGTGATGCACCATCGAGTATCAGTTATCTCCGTTTCATCCGGGGGGCAGAGGGGGTTGGTACAGAGGTGGATGAGTTGTGACATGTTACTACTATACGTCATGTGTGCACCCAGTTTTTATTACATGTTTAACCCTCTCAATACACTTGATCTTAACCAGAAGTCCAAGTGTTATGTCTGTCTACACCCCAAGTCTGGAATTTTTTTATTTATTTATTTTTTTACTACACACAGGCTTTGAAACTGCAAACTCTAGTAGAACAGCATGTGTTACACAGTAACCTGAGTATGGCCGAATTACAGAGTTTCAGAGTATGCATACAGAGTATGCTTTTGAAAGATGCTCCCAAGAATGGAGCTCTTTAAGCTTTACATTTTTATGTTTGTCAGGTGCCATAAATATTCATGTATAGACACACAGAAGACAATAGTCCTGCCTAAGGAGCTCAGTTTAAAAATTCTTAAAGTTTAAGAATTGATAAAGAGTGAATGGATAAATTTTGATCTGAACACAAAGTGCTGAACAAAGGATATACCAATAAGGACACAGTTTATGAGGCATAAAATGGTCCTCAAAATGAACTGAATCTGGATTTTTTCCTGTACAGTTTCTTTGCCTTAGTTTTCCTCAGCCACTCAAACATGCACACGTTTTCTATTCAGGTCTGCATTTTTGTTTGAACAGTTCAGATAAGCGGTTGCATCCCTGTTGTGATTTGAGCAATATGGAATCAGGAAGGGGTGGGTGGCATTCATTAGACTTGAGATATTTTGGTTAGACATCATACTTCAAAAGACCCAGAGTTAACATTACCTGGTGTATCAATGATGTTGATATTAACATCCTTCCACATAGTATATGTCGCTGCAGACTGAATTGTGATACCACGCTGTCGCTCTAGCTCCATAGAATCCATGACAGCCCCAACTCCATCTCTGCCTTTTACCTAAATACAACAAGCAAATCATGTACTGTAGGAAACTTCTTGCTGATTTTTATCTAGAGTTTTGCCTGTGCAAGAGCTACAGGAGTGAAGCTTTATATGGAGAGCAGCATTTTTCAAGCAGCACATGAAAATCAAGCTAGTTAAACAACAAGAGCTCACTCTAGAACCTGAACTCACTTTGCCCTTTCCTTTGCAAGACGCTCCTGAAAAAAAAAGCTGCGTGTTCAAAAATTCACTGTAAACAGATTGTATTTTAACTGGAATTTAATACATCTGTTTAAATGTGACATTCCCCCCCCCACATTTGTCAGTCACTTTGACTGTGCAAAGAAATTTTCTGCTTGTTATGTGGGGTTTGCCATATGTATGTGTGTGGGGTAGCCTGAGTTTTGATTTTTTTTTAAAGGTGGTGGGGCATACTGAAGCAAGTCAGGCATGAGGCAACTGCCTCAATTATTCCTATTTGCCTGTATTTCAAAGTCTTACTGAATACTTTTACTTTCTTATTCAGTGCAATATCCTTTGCTATTCTACAAAGCCAAAGAACAGAAAGACTCAATTATGGGAATGAGCATTCAGCATCAATATTCCAAAGACCCACCTCATGCATCTGTGTTATCCTGCCAGTATAGAAAAGAATGCGCTCTGTTAGCGTTGTCTTCCCTGAGTCTATGTGCGCAGAGATTCCAATGTTGCGGATCTTTTCGTTGGGAATGATTCCTGAGGAACACTGTCTGCAGCTGGTCCAGAAGAACTGAAAGATAAAAGTAGAATGCAATTCTGCCTCTTTTGTCAGGGTCAGAACAAAGTTTGCTCACCTGACACACCGTTCCAGGAACGCTTCGGGCCAACACACTTTTTCCTTCTGATAGTTAACTTGAGTGACCTATCTATGAATCTATGACCCAAGCTCCTGAGCAGCCCAGAGACCTCTGCTCCACAGAAATAGTGGATGGCCTCTAATCCTAGTTGCACTCTCAACAGCCCTTTCAGCCTCCACCTCCCCTTTGACACCTCTCTCTGCTCTGCCTCCAATTCTTAAAAAAACTGGTTCCCTTCACCTTCCTGCTTGCTAGGATATGGGAAGAGATTGCTCATATCCAGAGACATCCTGTAAACTACCAGTTTCTTACCCTTCCTGCCATTTACCAGCTGTCAATTCAATTACATAACTTTGCAGGTCTCCTACTGCAAGCAATGCTGAATTAGGAGGACAGCATGAGAAAACCTAATGGGAGCATCACAGGGACAAGGGACCCCAGAGAGACTAGGAACATCTGGATGCAAGTGGGCAAAAAGGACATGGAGCAGAGCGCTCATCTGGAGCACTCAAACAAGCCACTGTGGGTGGAAACAAGGACTTGAATATTTTCTGATAACAGGGGCATCAAACACAGGTGGCCCTGCAACCTGAATGCATGGTGCAGGCTAGTCCGTGGACCAAATCAGACTCAGGGACCCCACTCCCCTCCCCGGACTCAGCACACGTGGCGTTTGCTTTGCACCCACCAGTCCAGAACCTGCGCTGCGTGAGGTGCCCCCACCTCTGCTCTAGCACCACCCTGTGCCCCGTGCCCGTCTCCAACTGCTGGCAGGGGACACTGCATACAGCGCGGTCCCAGACTGGCCCGGGTGCATCACTGCGGTCCTGGAGCGGGGCGAGTCCTGGGCCCCAAGCGAGGGACATCGGGTCTGTGACACCGCTGCTGTGGCGGCTCACACGTCCTTGCCCTCAGCTTTCCCCATGGCCGCCCGCAGGCCCGGGCGCTGCAGGGACATGACCCCCCAGCCTAGACGCGGCTCCCACCGGGGCCTGGGGCCACCCCGCACCTGCTGCCACCGCCGCCGCCTCAGGCCCAGGTCCACCGCGGCCCGCAGCACCCGCGTCATCCCGGCACGTGCAAAGGTCCCTGAGCGGACCGGCGTCGACTGTCCGCCACCCCGCGGCACTTCCGGTCCGTGCCGGCGAGAAAGCACTTCTGGGTCACGGGGCGGTGTGGGCTGGGCCGCAGCGCCCCCTGTAGGACGGAGGCCGCCGGGCCTGGCTTCAGGCGCCGTGCAGCGCGGGCTGGACAGCAGCGCCCCCGGCGGCCGCTCCGCGCCTCTGCGCCCGGACAGAGCTTGGGCGCGCGCCGGTCCCTGCCGGGCGTCTGCCCTCGGGCAGGAAGACGGGCCGCTCTAGCCTCCTTCCCTCGCGGGTGAAGCTGGCAGCGGAGGCGGCTACATGCTCCGCGGCCATTCTCCTTGGCCTCCGGGCTAGGTTTGCGGAGGGCAGCTACGGACAGCGGCGCCTCTGCCCCCCGCCCAGGACCCGCGCACCCCGCCTCAGTGCCCGGCCTTCCGAAACGGATGCTAATTTTAGCTCTGTACTAAATGCCTGGGCTGGTGCCGGGGTACATGCAGCCTCGGAAGCTTTCGGGCAACGTCCACGTCTGGGAAATGCCTTTGATGGAAACCGTCCTCAGCCGCTTCAGCGCAGCTGTCGAGTCGCAGGATTTGAAGTTTAACATGTGCCGGAGGGGCCGCTGCCCCCGCTGCCGTGCCCGAAAAGCAAAACCACCTTCCTGGAAGACAAATGACAGGAGCCAGGAGTCCCGCGCTCGGCGCTGCCCCACAGACAGCATGTGAGACGGG